TGGCCTCTCCCGTTGCGGAGCACAGGCTCCGGACGCGCAGGCTCAGTGGCCACGGCTCACGGGCCCAGCCGCTCCGCGGCATGTGGGATCTTCCCGGGCCGGGGCACGAACCCATGTCCCCTGCATCAGCAGGTGGACTCTCAACCACTGTGCCACCAGGGAAGCCCCTTTCTCATATTCTTTAAAAAAAAAAAATCCCTCTGTACGTGAACGTTGTCCTCAATGATGTAAGATCCATGAAAGGCAGGGTCTTTATCTTTTTAGCTCCCTGCCTTATTCCTAGCAGTTAAGACAGTGCCTGGTACACAGGTGTCCTATAAATATTAGTTGAATGAATGACGAGTAAGCTTTCCCTGTCCACATGTGACTGTCCAATGAGCCCCTGTATCAGTTCTTTCACGTGTCCCTGCTCATGTTTATGGGCTGAAACCCCCTCCCAACTTATCAACTGAAACTCAGCTGCAGCCTCTCCTCCATGAAATGAGCTCCCCGTGCAGCTGTGATCTGAAAATAGTGAACAGCAGGAAGGATCATGTAAATCAAGTGCAAATCAAATCAGCAAAAATATAGTCTATTTCATATTGAAATAAACTAAATTACAGAGCTACTACCATGACTTATCAAGGGATATAAATGATTGAGAAAATAAATCAATAAACCATTTTAGCAGTTTCCAAATCATGTATTGATCTTTTAAAGTTTTTGCCATGGTTTTTTTTTTTTTTTTTTGGCTGGCTAGCTATCATCTGCTAGATGAAACCGTAACTGCCTGAACCATAATTTGACTTAGAGAATCACATCTGGCTCTCAACAACGTTCCACATTCAGTCGATATTTGGCAGGTGACTTTTGTCTTAAGTAAATGTCTCTTAGCATCAATGCTTTAGTTTTTGGTGCTGAATCTTCTACTGAACTAAGGAATTTCACTAAAGAATTTCTTAGCCCTTATAGTCCTGTTTGATATTTCTATTTATTTAATATTTCTGATACCAACTAAGTCATAAAAATGTTCATTGAAATGTCCTATTAAAGAATTGGTTTAATTTTATCAACTTATGTTCACCTGCAACCCATGAAGCTTTGTGAACATCAATCAGCCATATGGAAGGAACTTAAAATCTGCTATGGTTTTTACTTTTCTCATCAAACATGCATCTATAGATACTTTATTTAAAAATTAATAATTTGTCTCTTGTATTTGATATTTTATTTTAAATTCTTTATTTTTTCTGATATACTTATATAGGATATATATCTTCATTATTTCCTCATTCTCAATACCTTCTGCTTCTTTCTTATTTTCTGTATTTAGATTTATAAGTGTAATGACTATCATTCATCAGAATAATCTATCAGCTTTAATAACGGAAATATTTCTTTCTTGTAAAACAAAACAAAGTTTTGAGGTCTGTTAGAATATTATTTACTTAAGCCAAGTCTCTAATTTAAAAAATTTCTTCTGGGAGTTCCCTGGCGGTCCAGTGGTTAAGACTCCACACTCCCAATGCAAGGGGCCCAGGTTTGATCCCTTGTCAGGGAACTAGATCCCGCATGCCACAACTAAAGACCCCCACATGCCACAACTAAAGATTCCACATGCCTGAGCTAAAAGATCCCACATGTCGTAACTATAGATTCCTTATGCCGCAACTAGAAAAGATCCTGCCTGCTGCAACGAAGATGCCGCAGCAGCAACTAAGACCCAGTTCAGCCAAATAAATAAATAAATATTAAAAAAAAAAAAAGACTCCACCCATCCAATGCAGGAGGCACGGTTCAATCCCTGGTCGGGGAAGTAAGATCCTGCATGCCACGCGGTGCAGCCAAAAAAAAAATTTTTTTTCCAAACATTTATCTACTCACATTTCAGTTTCATGCTCTATAGGAATTGGGTAATTTTCACATTTAGATCTAAAGTCCTCAACTATTTAAGCCCCAAACTCCTTTCCCTCTGTAGATAGTCCAATCACCAAGTAATACTCAGAATCACAGAGCCAGGCCATCTGTACCCATGGCCCTTGCTATGGGCACTGTGATAATGGACCAGTGCTAGGTGCCCAGCACCTGGATGTGCCAGCCCTGGGCCTGGTTGCCCTCAGATCTATTCCTCATCCTTTCCCTGCTCTGCTGTATGTTGAAGGGGCAGCCTGCAGCCTGCAAGCCCCCTTCTCAGTGAGGTCTCCAATGGGAGGCACCAGTGGGGACGGAAAGGCAGGAGAAGACAGGGTATTCCTCTCATCCCTCTCTCCCTCCGCCAGCATCTCCATCGTGTCTGCAGTTCCAGCACTGCCGTACAGGCCCTCTGTGGCCCAGGTTCTCCCAGGGGACCCCAGCCCCTGGCTCTGGTACTCACCATCACCTCCTTCTCTCTCTCAGCCCAGGGATGGAGGGTCTTCTCACCGCTCCTGGACTTGCATTGTCCCTGGTTGATTCCTGAGCCTCTCCATCCCCTGGGGAACCAATTTCCTGCATTAAATCTCCTTTGCTATCTAGATATGTTTTCCTGGTTAACCGCTGGCTGATGTGTTGCAGTTTCAACACCTGGTAATAACATCCCATGGGGAGGCTCTGCCCCTTCCCCCAGTGGCCTTGGGTTCTCCTTTCAACACCTCCCAACGCTTGGGTCTGCCCGTTGCCAGCTCTTCCCAGCTCTGCTTTCAGCAACATCTTGTTTGTGGATTGAAATCTCGTATGGAGGGAGCATTTAGTCATGGAAATCTGCAAACACTACAAATCCTGCTCACCCTGCCCATCCCCACTCCACCAGGGGCCAGCTGTTGAACATTCACCAGCACACCACTGGTGGAGATCTGGGTGAGATCCACAATGGACACTTGTCCATTAACTGCTGGCAGAGCAGGGGGCTTCTCTGCAGAGGTGGGTTTCCAGCTCACCCCACCTCGCCTAAGAGGAGAACTGGCCCCCGCATGAAGACAGCTGTACGTCCCCAGAGAGCCTGGCTAACTGCTGTCTCAGGGCTGGCACTAGGGTGATGGGGGAGGGACTCACCTCGGATACAAAATTTTAGGGGGCATCGGGGAAACTCAGTAATCAAGACAACTAGTATTTTCAATGCAATATTTTTAAAGATCAAAATTAATGCCCCCCACCAAGCCCCATGATGAACAAAATATCAAAATTTTAAGGAAAGACAGGGTTGGACAAGGCTGAGATCACGGTGAGGTGAGGAAGGTAAGTCATGCAAGATTCATCTTGGTTAGATTTTGATAGTTTGTTCACATGGATTTTTTTTGCATTAATTTTGATTTTTTAAAATGACTGCATTTGGCAATGATTTCTTGGCTATGACACCAAAAACACAGACAACAAAAGAAAAATAGATAAATTAGAGGTCATCAAAACTGAAAATTTTGTGTGTCCAAGGACACTATCAACAGATTAAAAAGGCAAGCAGAATGGGAGAAAATATTTGCAAATTACATATTTGATAAGGGATTAATATCCAGAATATTTAAAGAGCTCCTAAAACTCAACAACAAAAAACCCAACAACCCAATTTAAAAATGAGCAAATGAGCAACTATACTCCAATAAAAATTAATCAAAAATAATAAAAATTAGGGGCTTCCCTGGTGGCACAGTGGTTGAGAGTCCGCCTGCCGATGCAGGGGCCATGGGTTCGTGCCCCGGTCTGGGAGGATCCCACATGCCGCGGAGCGGCTGGGCCCGTGAGCCATGGCTGCTGGGCCTGCGCGTCCGGAGCCTGTGCTCCACAACGGGAGAGGCCGCGGCGGTGAGAGGCCCACGTACAGCAAAAAAAAAAAAATAATAATAAATAAAAATGAGCAAAGGACTTGAATGGATTTTTCTGCAAGAAGATATACAAATGGTCAATAAGCACACAAAAAGATGCTCAACATCACTAATCATTAGAAAAATGCAAATGAAAACTGCAGTGAGCTACCACCTCACACCCATGAGGATGACTATTATTTAAAAAAAAAGGAAAGAAATAACAAGTGTTGGAGAGGATGTGGAGAAATTGGGACTCATGCATTACTAGTGAGAACGTATCATAGTGCAGCTTCTGTAGAAAACAGTATGGCGGTTCCTCAAAAATTTTAAAATAGAACTACCATATGATCCAGCAATTGCACTTCTGCGTATATAACTAAAAGAATTTAAAGCAGGAACTCAAAAAGATATTTGTATACTCAGCATTATTTATAAGGGCTACAGTGAGAAGTAACCCAGGTGTGTCCATTGATGGATGAACAGATAAACAAAATGTGGTCTATCCATACAATGAATATTATTCAGCCTTAAAAAAGGAAAGAAATGTTAGCACAGGCTACAACATGGATGAACCTTGAAGAAAGTATACGAGGTGAAATAAGCCAGACACAAAAGGACAAATACTGTGTGATTCCACTTTTATGAGGTACCTAGAAGAGTCAAATTCATAGATACACAAAGTAGAATGGGGGTTGCCGGGGGCTGGGAGGAGGGAAGAATGGGGGATTATAGTTCAGTGGAGAGAGTTTCAGTTTTGCAAGATGAAAAAACCTGGAAATGGACGGTGGTGACAGTTGCACAATGTGAATGTACCTAATGCCAATGAACTGTACACTTAAAAATGGTTAAGATGGCGAATTTCATGTTATGTGTATTCTACCAAAAACTTTTTTTAATTAGGGGAAAAAAGCAAGGTGCAAACCAGTATGCAATCAGTTACTTTTATGGTAAAAAGCGGGGGGATTAGACTCTAGTACTTTATTTGCTTGGATATGCATTTTTAAAGCTCTGGAAAGATGCATAAGAAACTAAAAATAAACTTTACCTTGGAGGGGTGGGGTGGGAACTGGGCAGATAGAGGGCAAGGGTCGGCGTGACATTTGTCATGTACCTTTTCTAAGAATTTCTAATTTTATACAAACAGGTCTCAGAAATTCCCAGCTGCTTATGGGAAAGCAGAAATCAGATTCGAGTGTTGCCTAATGGCCATGTGGCCGCCTCTGAATGATAACCCTTTCTGGCGGGGTTCACCTTGACCTGCCATTGATCGGTGCCTTGTTATCTGTCTTATCTCACCTGAAACCCAGCATGAACCCTCAGACCAACGAGCAGAGCATTTTCCTCTGGAAACAGTCCAGCTCCCTTGAGAGCAGTGGACCCTGAGGGTACTGGAACCCTTCCCTCTGGGGGCAGGTCCATCTTTCTGCTGGGCTTTCTGTCACCTCCATGGATATTCTTTCGTTGGTGATCCTGCACCCGCCAGACCTGCTTGCCAAGCTCTCTCTCTAGCAGGAAGACTCAAGGGCGCCCCCTGCTAGCTTTACTGAGAGGTGACCACTCTGGGCACAGTCGGGGCACCTGAGGACTGACACCTGCGGGGTGGGCTCCCCCTTCGCCCTTCACCTCTCCTCTATCCTCCCCTGCTCAGGGAGCCCTGTCCCCGAATCTATTCCCCCCGCCTCTGCTCACCTGCCCTGGGCCTGCCCCTCCAGTCCTGCCCCCCACCCCCGCCCCCATGCAGGAGCCCTGCCCCTTAGCCCCGTCCTGCAGTCAGACACACATAGGTTTGAATTCTGGCTCTGCTGATTACGAGCTGTGTGAGCCTGGGGAAGGTAGTTAACCTACCTGAGCCTCGGTATCCTCCTGGGTAAAATAGGGACACGAAGAAAGACATAGGGACACGTGCGGTCTCCTGCTGGGAGGCCATGGTCCACACCGGCTTCTGGTGTCAGCGTGGTTCTCCCTCTTGAGCTGGTTGGTGGCCACACAGGACTTTGCTTTATAATTATTTATTAATAATTATAAATTAATTATTTATATAATTATTATTATTTATAATTATTCATTAAACTGTACGTTTTTATTTTATGCACTTTCGTATATATATGTTCTATCATACAGTTTCCAAAAAAAAAAAGCTTTTTAAAAAAGTAAACCTATAGAAAGAATATCAGGGGCTAAATAAAGGCTAGTTTAGTTACCCCCCAGTCCCCACTGCCAATACCATTTCAGTTCTCTCCTCAGCCTCGAGTTCTCTCCTCAGCCTCGTCCTGGCACAAGGGCACATCCCAGGTACAATCCCAGGTGTGAGGTTCTGTAAATGGCCCAAAGCAGTGTCACCTGCCCTTGCACTGGAATTATCTGGGAGCAATTCACCCACCTGAGGAAAGACACCCCTTCCTCTGCCCCACCCCTGGAGAATCTGCCAGGAAGAAAGCTCCAGAAAGAGAATCCTTATCCACCAAGCATCTACTACGCGCCAGGCACTTCTCATACACCAGCCTATGTAATTCGTCTCCCAGTCCTATGAAGCTGGTGCTGTGATGGTCCTCGTTTTGCAGGTGAGGAAACTGAGGCACAGAGGAGGTGACTAACTTGCAGTGGGTCACATGGGCGGGACGGTGGAGACAGTATTTGAAACCACGACTGTGGTTTCAAGGGGCTCCCTTGGCCATGCCTTTCCTGAGACCACTCTTTTCCATACATTGCTAACTTAGTTTCTGGTAGCTTCTCCAAAACGTTCATGTGCACGCAAATTACCTGGGCTCTTGTTAGTTCTGACTCGCAGGTCTGGGGTGGGGCCTGAGACTCTGCATTTCTATCAAGTAGGTCCTCAGCCTGGAGGTCCCCTCACCATATTGCCCAATCAGACACAAAGCCCAGACCTCTGCCTACTTATCACAAGGACTTGGGACCTTATCATTATATTTGTGATGGTGACCTGTGATCAGTGATCCTTGATGATATTACTACTATGAGTCATTGAAGCCTCAGGTGATGGTTAGGATTTTTTAGCAATAAAGTTTCTTTTAATCAAGGTATGTAAATTGTCTTTTAGATATGATGCTATTGCACACTAAACAGACTACAATATAGTATAAGCATAACTTTTATATGTACTGGGAAACCAATAAATTCGTGTGACTCGCTTTACTGCGATAATCGCTCTATTGTGGTGGTCTGGACCAGAAGCCGCAACATCTCTGAGGTCACCTGTATCAGTGTCTCCCCACCTTTTCACCTGTGGCATACGGAGAAGGTGATAGAACTCGTGCCCCGTGCTGGAGCACAGGAGACGGTGCTGCCACTGGGGCAAAGCCCTCGCCCGAGGGTCCCCATGGGCCAAGGGCATCAGGGTCTCTGCACACTTGTGTTCTATCCACAGCGCCCAGAGAGAAGCCCTGGGTGGAGATTCTTAGACTCCCCTTCAGGACGCTCGTTTCCCACACATTCTATTGACGCTCTGCTCATGTGTTTTGTTCACAGTCACATTTGCATATTAGTTCAGGGTTCAGGTTGTTTTCTGACCAGAGGTGGGTACCCGGTGACCCCTGCTCCCTGGGACTCGGCCTGTTCGATCTGATCCCAAGTAGCTGGGTCGCATCCACGGCACCTGCCCCCATCCCGTCAGAACCGGTGCTACCCTTTCTGACCTAGTTATTTGGTCTTATTTCCCAATAACAACCAGCGTGGCCTCCTTCCCTCCCTCTTGTGAAATTAGTTGCACAAAGAATGAGAAGTTGGGGCCTTTCATGTCTCTAGGTTCCTTAGGTATGATTTTTGCCACACATCACTCCTGCAAACTGGCCCAGCCA